ATGGAGGGCATGAGGGTCAGTTAGGAGACAGGTCAATGCACAGTAACAGGCATAATCAACAGCGTCGGAAACTAGGGTGACCGAAGAGTCTGTGTGGGGGAGGAGGACGCGGCGGGGACCATTCGAGGCTGAGCCTAAGGGAGTAGGAGAGACCCAAAGCTGGTACACAGCCGAGCCAGAGATGTGAGGAATCACTGTTAAGAGTTCAAGGCTGAGGCCCGGGGTAGGCCGAGTTCTATGGTGGCCCCCTACGGCGCCTACCCGAGTGCGGGTGGAGGCTGTATGGATGAGGAAACCCTGCTCCGGTGCTTACGCTCCCTTCTACGTCAGGGATTCTGCACGCGTAATTAAGGTCCCTTAAGGAGACTATGGGTGGGCCTCACCTAACCCCGAATCTCTTAAATCTGGGCATAAGCCAGACACAGAGAAGTCGAAGACCGCAAGAACCTGCCGTGCTGTTTCTGCCTGGAAGACGGAGGGGACCTGTGGCGCGGGATGTGGATGACCCCCAGGGCACGGGGTGTGGTGACCTCTAGGAGCCGAGAGGCCCCAGCTGACGGTGGCAAGAGAACGGGGACCCCAGTCCCACAACTGCAAGAACTCCGAACTCTGCCAACTAGAATGAGCTTGGAAGTTTCTTCCAGAACCTTCAGATTCACTTTAAGCCTCTAGGTTGCTGTCATCTGTTATGGAGCAAATGGAAACTAATACAAGGCTGTATGAGGAAGTCGTTATGGCAAAAACAGCCGCGTCGGGAACTGACCCTGAAAGAAGGCTCCACTGGTGTCAAAACAAGTGAAGGGAACCAAGAAATGTACGGGACTAGAGTGAGGGAACAGCACAGAGGGCAAGGCCACACGGCTACAGCGATGCTGAACGCTACAGGGAGGCCTGGAGGACAGTCGGAGAAGAGGTCACTGGCCTCAGAGCTAGGTCTGCAGAAATGCTTCTGGAGTGCTCTTCTGTCAGGTGACGGAGGCTAAGGAACACCCGGGGAGTGGGAATCAGCAGCAGTTAATGTTAATCCCGTGGCTCTAACGAAGTCAGAAGGAAATGGCCCACAGGCTCCATCTCATTAGACCCTTGTTCAACACTGGCTTAGCCCGAGCTGTCCTTCCCTCTGAGGACCCTTTGTTCTGTAGCAGCACCCAGGAGCACTGCCACCCACTGCCAGTTCAGGCACAGAAGCCTGGGCAACTTCAGAAAGGGAAGCAGCCCAAAACTCACGGGGCACCAGCACGAGAGGGAAGTAGAGAGTGGAAAAATGAAGGAAGCACATTTCTTTCAAGACGCCTCCCAAAGAGCCAAATCTTAGCTAACCTAACACTCTCTGAGTTCAGTAAGTGAAAGAGTTGGAAAAAGGAATCAGAAGGTTGAAGAAGGTAGTGGCTGCAGTAAATGAAAGAACAGCTCAAAGAGCTCCCAGGCTTAGAGGAAACCCGCCAGCCCAGATGAGAGGTCAAAACCAGACGCCTGCAGGGAGCAGACGCCAACGGGAGGTCAGCATGGACTAGAGGAGAGAGACCTGTAAGAAGGTAGTTCCTACTGGCTCCCATGTGCAAAGTAAGCAGAAAAGTTCTTCAACCATAACCATGTTCTACACACACACACACACACACACACACACACACACACACACACACACACACAAACACGTTCTCTTTCTCAATGAGGAACTCAGTGGAGAAAAACTCTGAAGACAAAAAAAATCTTGGAAGCTCTGTAAGTAACGCACGGGGAAACGAAACCGAGGTTCGCAAACACCAGCCGGGGACAACACGCTCGCAGGAACTACAGACAGGGTGACGAAGCACGCCTCACCCGGGAATCCCACTCATTGAGGGTCTTGATGTTGATGAAGGACACTTCCCCGTTGGCTCCGGTCATGACACCATCATGCTCACAACGGACAATAAGGTCGATATCGTCCCCAAGCTTCCACCTGCGGTAACTGCAACGAACAAGGAGCTTATCTGGTCACTGGAGACCCTGCGTTTCAGAGAAGCCACCCCACGCAGGTGGGTTGACATACCGGTATGCAACGGAGGCAACTTCATTCTTGTCCATGTCGTCCTCCACGAATGGGTTTGGGTTGGGGAAGTTGTATCTCTCCTTTCCCTGTAAACAGACAAAGGCGTCACTAGACAGCAAGTACTTGCTTCCGAGCCCATTGGCCAGACCCTGCACTCTGCTTAGTTACAGCCCTGGCCGGCTCCCCGGGGCCCTCGAGGGGGCTGTGGGCTCCCTGCATGGCGGGTGGCTATTTACCCCTCCTGACTTTAAGCATGAACCCCGATGGATCTCAAATGCTTATACGTGTTGCCGGCGAGCTTCGAGTATCTCATTTAATTAGCAGCCATGCCCCTCCTGTTTCATTTTGCCCCACAGCACACGTCACCGTTTGTCACAACCTAGGTTTACAGTCTTTCTTCCTCCACGATAACATAGCCTCCTAAGGGCAGGAACTTTGTGTACCGCTATATCCTCAACACCTAAATGCTGTATTTGTATAGATCAGCGTTATCTGTCCGACACTGAAGGTATCTATACGGCCTATCTGTGGAAGGTAAGTATTATTAGTATCCTGACTTTCCAGACAAGAAACCTACCCTACACCCCAAAGCTCTTAAGCACTGGATCTAAGGTTCGGTCAGGCAGCCTGACCTCAAAGCCCCAGCCTGGAGCTCCTCTGTGACAGGCGGGGACCCTGTCTGTCCTGCTCGGTCCCACAACCCCGGAGCCTACCACAAAGCAGACGTTCAGTAAACGGTAGCTGGCGAAACAGAAGCCGATGCCCAGACGCTCTCACCGCCTCACCATTCTCAAGCACTGCTGGGAGAAGTTGTGGTTGATGTAGGTCGCTTCCATGGCCAAGTTGCGGGGTGAGTTGAAGGAGTTGCCTTCATCTTGTGGGGGCTCGTTGGCGGTCTCACTCACCGTCAGGAGGTCTGCAAAAGCGGCAGCATGGTCACGCACCCGTGAAACCGGGTCGCCCGTGGTGTGCCTGGCACTGCAGGGAGGGGCCAGCGACGCAGGCCTGTCCTTCCAAGACCCGCCACCTACTCACATGGCTCCGTCAAGCGTGGGCAGGCTGGGGAGGGAGTGGGGAGTGCTGCCGGGTAACTTTAGATCCCCTCTGATGTCACAGTCAAGCGAGCTGTAAGAAGGCTACCCCATTTCAATCTGTTTGGATTCTTCAAGAGCCTGTCTGATTTTGTTAGCTTTTTAACAAAGAGAGGGCCCCAAGGCTCAAGCGTAGACAGAATTGTATCATTCTGTCTCACTGCCGTTAGTTCTCAGCGACCTGGTTTCCCCCCATGGCGTGCGTGCACACGTCCGTGTCGTGTGAAATACAGGCAAATGTATTTTTCCCTGTGTAAACACACCGATGTGAAGAAGAAAAAGCATTAAAAAAAACGTGAAGGTAACGTTAAAGGTGCTACGGAGAGCTGGAAGTCAGGAAAGTGCCATTCAAACAGGTAACGCTTGCCAGCACAGCGCTGGGGTCCTGGGAGGACTCAGGAAGCTGGCACCTCGAGCTGGGACAGCAGGGACCGTCCTTCCCTCTGCCAGGCCTCTCAGGGGGCTGGGAGGGCTTTGGCCACAGCTGTCACTGCCCGTGGGGAGACAGGCCACCTCCCAGCCCCGCTCCAGGACCAGGGACTTGCTCTGAGCCCTCAGAACACCCAACCCCGTCGCGTCGCTCCCAGACAGGCTTCTTACCAAAGTCAGAGTTGTCCCTCTTGTCGAAGAAGAGCTTGGACCCGACTCTCTGCACAACGATGTCCCAGGAGTACACAGAGCGGGTGCAGCTCATCAGCGTAGCCAGAATGGCATCGGTGGCAAACACGTTCCCCTGAGTTTTTGCCAGCTGCAAAGAGGGCAGAGAGCAAGATGTGAAGACACTCCAGTCTCACTGCCCATTCCCACGGAGGACTCGTTTGCAAGGGGCCCTCACACCCTCCCGTGCGCATGCGCCCTCTAGCTGTGTGAGGAGTGTGCGTGCGGCAGGTCTGCCTGCTGGCGGTCCCCACCCTAGGGTACGAGGGACCCCGCGGCTCTCCGAGCGCCCACGACGTTCCGGGATGGCACCTGACACCCCTCACCCCGGTGGCATGTGGTAAGCGCCTCCGACCCACTTCAGAGGTAGGAGATGCGAGGGGGTGGTGCCGGGAAGCGCGGCAGGGCTGGGAAGTGGGCCCGGCTCTGCTCTATTACCAGCATCAGGGGCTAACCAGCAAGGGGCCCGTATTTCCACCTAATCCTGTCTGATTCAGGAGCGTCGCATCTAAAGGGCTTTCCGAGGGGCGCCTGGGTGGCTCAGTCGGTTAAGCGGCCGACTTGGGCTCAGGTCATGATTTCGCGGTCCGTGAGTTCGAGCCCCACGTCAGGCTCTGTGCTGACAGTTCAG